ACTGTATTTAAGGAAGAAGATTGTTAGTCGAGAAGAGAAATTATTGTTCAGCTGTGTTGTGGGAATTGAAGTCCACAAGTCATAAAAGGGCCAAGTTTGAAGACCCCTGTCTTAAATCTAACAAAATGGAGGCTGGCTGAGGAATTCTGGGAGTTGAAGTCCACAAGTCATAAAAGGGCCAAGTTTGAAGACCCCTGACTTAGATGGTTTTCCTGCCTAACGTAGGACTGGAACTCACTGTTTCCTGGTTTGTAATCTGGTGCCTTAACCATAAAACCATTATTGCTATAGTCTTAAAAACATAAAAGTGCAACATTTATCAAGCTATCCTTGTTTTATTTAGCAGCCTGATTTTTCTTAACCACACTAGAATTATATTTCACTCCTTTTTTCAGTAATCTTTTAAGGATGTCTCCATTTCTCTTAAAAGATATGGATCTGGCAGTAGATATAAATGTGTATTGTGATTTGCTTGACTCTGCAATAAAGTGAACTCTATTGCTATTAAATTATCCTTTAAAGTTCTAATTTAAAACTTTTGGATTTGTAAAAAAACATGTTATCTAGTTATTTGATAAATGGAAGCCAGATATAAAAATTGGGTGCGGTGGGAGGTTGGTAACAACTATGGAGCTAGGCACTTTGGTATAGGACTGTCAATCTGCATTGCAAACCCTTGGATGATCATGAGATGGCAGCAGAGGGATACTAACATTCTAACTTTTTGCTGCCATCTGTTGTTCATCTAGTATTTTGCAGCTCACATACAGTAATCTTTTGTAGTTTTTTTAAAAAAAAAGGTTAATTACAGCTAAATAAGGTAATACGCCATTTTTTTCCTTCGCGTTTATAATTTAGCTTGATAGAAGAATCTTTAAGATATTGAAACCTTGAACATCATTTTATGGGCCCATTAAAGGTATTGCTTTCCTGTAGAAAATCATCTTTGTTCCTTTTTAATGTCCTCCACAGATATCATCATAAAAATAAATGCCAATTAAAAAGAGTAAACTGTAACATAATTAAAATTCTCTTGTCTCCCTCCCTGAAGTGGTGTTAACTTTGAGGATTACTGTATTTCTAATCTGGCAATATATTGGTTTGGGTTTTACGTTCCGTGAAACTATCTTATTCCATAGAAGATATATTTTTTTTACTGATCTTAGTTGTTTTCTAAGAATTCCGATAACTTTCTTATGTCTAGTTTAACAAAAAGAAGGACTAGGGGTGACATGATAGCAGTCTTCCAATATCTCAGGGGCAGCCCCAAAGAAGAGGGAGACAAGCTATTCTCTAAAACATCTGAAGGCAGGACAAGAAGTAACGGATGGAAACTGATCAAGGAGAGAAGCAACCTAGAACTAAAGAGAAATTTCCTGACAATGAGGACAATTAACCAGTGGAACTGCTTGCCTCCAGAAGTTGTGGGTGCTTCAACACTGGAGTTTTTAAAGAAGACTTTGGGCAACTATTTGTCTACAGTGATGTAGGATTTCCTGCTTGAGCAGGAGGTTGGACTAGAAGACCTCCAAGGTCCCTTCCAGCTCTCTGATCCTTTTTAATTTTATGGATTTCTCCCTCTTTCAAGCTTTTTACCTTGTTCTTAATAAGAAAGAACAGCTGAGTTGACTTCTAATTTCTCCATCATTGAGCACACTCCATGCTTATATTCTATGGAAGTAGGTAGAAGTAACCAGACCTACTCAACCTTAGCTCAAATTGTCTTGGTAACTTGTACCAAATCTTCTTCCAACATAACCTTCTCTTTGTGATAAGGGCTAATAATTTCTAGTTTCCAGTTACAAGCCCTTGGGTAAAATACATTTCCGTTTTTACAGTCAATTTTCTGACATTATGCCTGTAGGTTGCCTGTCTCTTAGCCTTTAAACTGTTACAGCTTAAATTATAGGTCATGCAATATGCTATTTATATGTCTGGAAAGTTAATTTGAGGCTTCTTATACTTTCCCTGTACTGCTTGTCCACATTTGGCATCAGGGCAGTTGAACAAATTGGCAAATGTCATAATTCCGGCTGGAGCTATTACTGTTTTTCAGCTTTTACTAGCGTAGCTGAATGCTCTACAAAACATAAGTATGAAGTGCCACCCTTGTTACCGATAGCTCAGCATTGTTGGCCCTTAACAGTTGTATAAATCTGACACTACTGGCTTTACCGTTAACAGGGTTGATGAATTGCTGACTAAATTTAAATCAAGTCAGTACTGATTTAAAGCTGTATCTCATCTGTCATATATTCTAAATTTAAATCAGTCATTTAAAGCTGCATCTCATCTGTCATATAGCAGAGATTATAGCCAGTGGTTCAAAACTAAGCATTTACTCTTGGATCTCGCGAGAGCCAGTTCGGTGTGGTAGTTAAGCTGCTGGCTTAGAAATCAGGAGACTCTTGAGTTCTAGTCTTACCTTCACATGAAAGCTAGTTGGGTGATTTTGGGTCAGTCACCAGGAGATGGTGAGTTCTAGTCTCACCTTAGGCATGAAAGCCAGCTGGGTGACTATGGTCAGTCACCAGGAGATGGTGAGTTCTAGTCTCTCCTTAGGCATGAAAGCCAACTGGGTGACTATGGTCAGTCACCAGGAGATGGTGAGTTCTAGTCTCACCTTAGGCATGAAAGCCAGCTGGGTGACTTTGGGTCATCACCAGGAGATGGTGAGTTCTAGTCCCATCTTAGACATGAAAGCCAGCTAGGTGACTTTGGGTCAGTCACCAAGAGATGGTAAGTTCTAGTACCACCTTAGGCATAAAAGCCAGCTGGGTGATTATGGGTCAGTCACCAGGAGATGGTGAGTTCTAGTCTCACGTTAGGCATGAAAGCCAGCTGGGTGATTATGGGTCACTCACCAGGAGATGGTGAGTTCTAGTCCCACCTTAGGCATGAAAGCTGACTGAATGTCTTTGGGCTAGTTACTCTCTCTCTCTCTCAGAGATTAGTAAATAAATGATCTTCCATTTTCATTCAGGCTTTGAGGTAAATGAATTTTGTACCTTTCTATTAATGATTGACATCTTCCATGGCGGAGACGAGAAGTCTAGTGTTACTTTGGCCTAATCCTGTAATTCATTCACCCGCTTTCCCCTTTCTGTGGGTTAATTGCCAATAACTAGTTTTAAGGTGGAATTTGAGGGGAGTGGAACAAATGGATCCAGTTTAAAACTTTGGATCTCAGCACCCACCATTATCCCTGGGAGACCCGCAGGAAGTGGAAGGCAACCGTAAGCCACTCCTGAAACCCTACAAAAGAAAATTGCTTAGTTTTATCCTGTTTCAGGACCTGAACGTTGTTTTTAACAGTTAGGTCTGCATCCTGCCTCCATAACAGTGGTGCTTTATTTTGAAATGTTTGCAACAATAGTCTACGACACTTTTAGATCCTCACTTCTTAAATATCAGTCCACCAAAAATAGTACGTAGTAGTCCCTCTGCTTATTTTCCCTCACAACAACCCTGTGAGGTGGGTTGGGATTAGCATCGCTTCACCTCAGCTATACCTGAGGGAAAAAAATCCATCCTCTCTAAGCACCCTAACCTGTGCATCAAAGTGACTTCATGTGCACCCTTATCCATTTTGTTGTTAGTTGTGAAGTCATGTCCGACCCATCGCGACCCCATGGACAATGTTCCTCCAGGCCTTCCTGTCCTCTACCATCTTCTGGAGTCCATTGAAGCTCACGCCTCCTGCTTCAGGGACTCTATCCAGCCACCTCCTTCTCTGTCGTCCCCTTCTTCTATTGCCCTCAATCTTTCCCAGCATTAGGCTCTTCTCCAGTGAGTCCTTCCTTCTCATTAGGTGGCCAAAGTACTTGAGTTTCAACTTCAGGATCTGGCCTTCTAAAGAGCGGTCAGGGTTGATCTCCTCTAGGACTGACCGGTTTGATCGCCTTGCAGTCCAGGGGACTCGCAGGAGTCTTCTCCAGCACCATAGTTCAAAGGCCTCAATTCTTTACCCTTCTCCATAAGCCACACTGAATAGCGTTACTTAGGTCACTCATTCTTCCCTCAGCTTAATGTATCCTCACTTTTATGAGCATAAAACTGTATATATTTCAACACCCAAGCACCCACACGTTGATCCATTCAGTTTTTGGAGCTCCTCTATGTCTAAACGATAATGTCGGAAGCAATTGAACAGCTATTCCAGATGTTTTTTTAATGCCGTATAAATTAGCCTTTGCAGAACTGTGTATTTTCTGCGTAAAGTAAAAGTGACTATTTTCCTTTTAGAGAAAAGCCGTTCTTGCTGCATAGGGTTGTATCTGCACCTTTGCTGCCAGGGTTTTGCTTTTCTTGAACTATAATCTTACGTTAAAAAATCAAAACATAAGAAATCCATAATTTATAATAATAATGATGATGATGATGATGATGATGATGATGATGATGATGATGATGATAGGGATCTTGGAGGTCATCTAGTCCAACCCCCTGCTCAGGCAGGAAACCCTATACCATTTCGGACAAATGGCTGTCCAGTCTCTTCTTAAAAACTTCCAGTGTTGGAGCATTCACCACTTCTGGAGGCAGGTTGTTCCACTGGTTAATTGTTCTGACTGTCAGGAAGTTTCTCCTTAGTTCTAGGTTGCTTCTCTCCTTGCTTAGTTTCCATCCGTTGCTTCTTGTCCAGCCTTCAGGCGCCTTGGAAAATAGCTTGACTCCCTCTTCTTAATGATTGCTAAAGTTATAAAAACCATATACACAATTAGTTCTTTAAAAAATTGAGAGTTTCAGTCTCTGTTGAAGGTTGGTCTTTTCTGGGACTGAGAAGTGTTGAAGAAATGTCTTCTGGGGAAGTGCCAAGGACCTTATAAATGGGAAAATTGTGCTGCATTAGACAATCGTTGCTCTCCATTATCTATTGAATCATTATTATCTAACGTACATCTCTGATTAAAACAGCGTTTCGCAATTACTGGATTGTTATTAGTCTGGATGTCCAATAAAACCTAACTGAGGTTCTGTTTTGTTTTGTTTTTAAATAGGTACCTATCAGATGAAGGGATTGAGGCTTGCACAAACTCATCTGAAAAAGTCAACATCAACGATATTATCCTGATTGCACTTAATGTAGGTACAGTTTGCGAACTTTTAAAATTTATAATCAGTTTCGGTGACCACTTGTTAGTTAAATTTTGAAATACACTAACTAGCTCTAAAAATGAAAATGTTCTAGGCTGGTACTATACAGAGTTATTTTATTTTTCCTTTGACAAGTATTTATGTCAAAGGACATAAATATATTCAAGTTGTTTCCATTTCTACCTGTATTGTTTGTAATTAAATATAAAGCCATACTAAGTGAAGAGATATTTCTTAAAGAGGGAGGGAGAGAGGGAGGGAGGGAGGGAGGGAGGAAGGAAACGAAACGAAACGAAACGAAACACAGCCCAAATCTGATTTCTGTTTAGAATTTTTTTTAGAAATACATATTGAAATTTTGCTTGGTCTTTATAAAGGATAAAGGTTTAAGTATATATTGGTGTACTGCATTTTCTTCTTCCTGTGGTTAGTATGCTGCAAATAATAGTCTGTTAGATTGCAAGGTGGTTTCTAGATTAGAGACTATAATTTGCCTAGAACAAGGGTGTCAGACTGCTGGCCCATGGGTCAGATGCGCCACATGGAAGCCGCGCCCACCCCAGCTTCGGCAAGGGGGAAAAAAGTCAACGATACGTCGCATCACGTGACGCGGCGAGTTTGACACCCCTGGCCTAGAATGTCAATAATATTAGGATAAAACTGGTTACATGTTAGCTTTACTTGTGTCATATTGGCCTAGATCAGGGGTAGGCAACCTTGGCTCTTTGATGACTCGTGGACTTCAACTCCCAGAATTCCTGAGCCAGCCATGCTGAGGGGAAAGGGAGAGGTTTCCAAGCTGAGCCATGCTGGGTCAGGAATTCTGGGAGTTGAAGTCCACGAGTCATAAAAGAGCCAAGGTTACCTACCCTTGGCCTAGATCAGTGTTTCTCAACCTTGACAATTTTAAGGCATGTGGACTTCAACTCCCAGAATTCCACAGCCAGCAATGCTGGCTGTGGAATTCTGGGAGTTGAAGTCCACATGCCTTAAAATTGTCAAGGTTGAGAAACACTGGCCTAGATGTTCACGTCAAAACTGCTACTGTTTTTATTAGTAGGGAGTGTGGCTGTAGAATGGGGGCAGCTAAAGATAACACAGTCCACAGTTTCTCTATTTGTTAAAATATTTTGTGGAAGGCTTGCTTGCCCAAAACAATAATGGACAGCAAAAGACAAAATTTACAGGGCCATCTGTTGACATTCTTGATATCTGGAAGATCTGAATGTTGACTGTTAAGGGGAGTAAGCGATTAAAAAAAAACGAATTAGCCAGTGAAACGGAAAAGAGAAAAGTAGAAACGTTTTTGTAAACTCTCTGAATTTAAGAGAAACGGAAAGTATGCAATAGAGCAGAATAAAGATCTTCTGGAGTGAATTTTATTGATACATGCCTAGAAGTGAAAGTGGTGCTTTCATTATAATTAAATCCATTCTTACATAACAGACGAATGAATATTCGTTTTAAAAGCATGAGTGGTTTGATTGCTTATGAAGAATGCAAGAATTACAAGGATGATGAGAACTTCCGAATGTGAAACAGACCATTGTTTGATAGTGTCAGAAGTGGGAAAAATAGACTATGAAGGCAAAGAAAGAAGCTTTTTTTAAAAAAAAAGAAAGAAAAAGAAATAAAATAAAAATAAAAGCCTAGCCTAAAGTAAAATTATTGCAAGAAGAGAAAGTCTTAAGTTCCTATTTGAAAAAAAGTCACAAGATAGATTTCCAAATGCAAAGTGGAACAAAAGGTGACGTGGAAGCTTTTAGAACACAGTAAAATAACTATATTACAACTGATGATAGGTATTTGTGTATATGTGGTTATATAAAAACTGAAGTTTTCTTGGTAAAATAAAAGAACTGAATCTATATATTTTCTACTTTCGTATTACTAGCCGTTGCGCATCCCGAATATTGTGTTACCTAATACTTTCTGAATGTTTTCCTTTTAAAAAAAATGTTTAGCACTAAAACCTACAGAATAAAAGTAACTAAAAAGAAAGTAACAAATACAAGGTTTGAATTTTTTAAAACCAATGATACACACTCAAACATTTACAATTTTCTGTCCAGCGTGATGCTTACATAGTTGAAAGTGATCTGTTAGGAAAAAATAATAATTCATTAAATATCGACCAAGTTTGAATCCATTTCTCCTGCATTGTGGAGTTTTTCAAAGCTCTTCATTGTCAACTTTTCATCTGGAAGGATTTCCTAAACTCATAAAAACCATGCCTCTTATGAAAAATGTGTTTTTAATTGATCGCTGTTGTTCAATAACAAATTTGCAGCTAACAGGACAAACCGAATCTATTTCTGATGTTGCATTGATTTATAAGACTTTAGAAATAAGGCAATAAACCGTTGCCTTCTTGCTTTACAGATTCAAATTTGATCCGTAAGTTTAGCTGAAGATTTATTTTATGTTTTTTTTATTATTATAATGCAGTTTCTTCAGTATTTCTTTTTGTCCATTTTTGAAGGGAATATCCATTATTCAGAGCATATTCTTAAGACCCTTAAAACCTTCAGAATTGTTTACTGTCTTGTTTTGACAGAAGACAAGGTGAAATAAGGGGGATATATTTATTAACTTACTGTCACTATGTGGAAAATTAAAAGAGGAGAAGAGCGGTATCCTAAGGTCCTTTCAAGTTCTTTAGTGTTATTATTGTTCCTCAGTTCAGAATTATCTGAGATACTTTGTCCAATAGGTCTCCTCCTCATATCTTGCTGACCATCTCCCCTTGTTCTTCGTACTATGTTCTTCCAGTTAGTTTCCGGTTGTGCTTTCTCTGCAGTGTGTTTGCTCACTTTTTAACAGTGAGGTTACAAAAATCTTGGTTTGTCAGCCAGCTTATTGCAGATGCTGATTTGGGCTGAGAGACAATGATTGGACTCATTGTCCAATTGTCCAAGCTGGCTTCCATGCCCTCAAATCTCCTAATCCCAAACCTCAACCACTGCATATACAGATAATCATCAACTTACGACTGATCGTTTAGTGACTGTTTGAAGTCATGTTGTTGTTAGTTGCGAAGTTGTGTCCGACCCATCGCAACCCCATGGACAATGTTCCTCCAGGCCTTCCTGTCCTCTACCACCTTCTGGAGTCCATTGAAGCTCACGCCTACTGCTTCAGGGACTCCATGCAGCCACCTCATTCTCTGTCGTCCCCTTCATCTATTGCCCTCAATCTTTCCCAGCATCAGGCTCTTCTCCAGTGAGTCCTTCCTTCTCATTAGGTGGCCAAAGTACTTGAGTTTCAACTTCAGGATCTGGCCTTCTAAAGAGCAGTCAGGGTTGATCTCCTCTAGGACTGACCGGTTTGATCGCCTTGCAGTCCAGGGGACTCGCAGGAGTCTTCTCCAGCACCAGAGTTCAAAGGCCTCAATTCTTTGGCGCTCAGTCTTTCTTATGGTCCAACTTTCACATCCATACATTGCAACTGGGAAAACCATGGCCTTGACTATACGCACGTTTGCTGGCAGGGTGATGTCTCTGCTTTTTAGTATGCTGTCTAGATTTGCCATAGTTTTCCTCCCCAGGAGCAAGCATCTTAATTTCTTGGCTGCAGTCCCCATCTGCGGTGATCTTGGAGCCCAGGAAGATAAAATCTGTCACGACCTCCATTTCTTGAAGTCATGGCAGACCCCCCAAAAGAGACAAGCTGGTTGTAAAGTTCCAACATCTGCCCACAGGGCAGCATTATTCAGCCACATGACCACGAATTATGATTTATTTATTTTTTGCTTGAAACCAGCTTTTACTTCTGGCTCCCTACAAAAAGCAGCCCGTAGCGTACCACAGGTTCGCTTTACAAATCACTGTGCTTGCTGTACAACTTCCCTATTCATTTAATAACCCCTAAAAGAAAGGTCGTAAAAAGTGGGGACCAGTCGGATGGCCCGCTTTACAATCACCATGACTTTAACGGCTGTAATTGTGCGTTACGATCATCGCTTGAGGATTATCGGTATGTTTTCTGAGGCACTGAACCAAATAGACAGGAGTAGAAACGGTTCATTGTCCTTTTAATAGTCAACAATGAATTTTAATGGAAACAGTGAGGTAAAAGAGAACCATCATTTAAACTGCAAACACCACATGGGTGGTTATTAAAATTAAAGCCACTGTCTGGAGCCGGATGATCTGCTTGAGATATTAATGGTAACACTCAAACCATTATCAAAGCAAAAGCTATCTGCTCATCAGGCGCTTACGGTTGTATTTTAATTTTATTTTTTTTTAACAAATTTTATTAGTTTTCCAATTTTAACATCCAAGTATTTAGAAAGCAACGTGGTAACTGGGTAGTCAGTAGTTCAGTAACAGCATTTTTAGTACATATCTCACGTTACATTGTCAAAAATTCCTTCTCTATTTACCATTAACATTTAGTATAGCATAGTTAAACTAGTAAATTCCTAGCCATAGCAGGTTCCGTCAAAATGTTTATCAATCTATCTTTTGTTTATACATATCCATATCCTGTTTTTAAGTTTTACCTAATTCTTGATTTCTAATTACAGTATTCCAATTTTAACCTTTAGCATCCATAATATTCAAATTTCTGGTAACCCAAATTACAAGAGTTATAATGTCTAAAATACACATATTACTTATTTAAATATATTCTATTTTTATTTCATAAACATTTTCTAATTCTCATCCTAATACATCACAGCTTGCTAGTAGAGTAACCTTTATTCTCTCAGATCCATCCTCCATCTATATTTTCTGGGCTAAGGCTGATTCTTAATGTTTATTATAAATCTAAACTCTAATTATTAGGCCAATTAATCCAACAATATTTAAATCTAATAGTCATATTTCCCTTCGTCTCCAGGTCTCCCTTTAGCCCATTAGTTAAGACTTTAGGATCTCTCTTAGTAAGTCAGGAGGCAGTTGTATTTTAATTTTTGAAGAGTTGCAAAAATAATAATAATATTATTTTTGGCCGTTTATAAGATTGTGCAGGTGGGAAAAAAATCATAAACCTACGTTGATCCCTGTAGCCTGTTGTCGTTTGTACTACAAATGTCGATCTCTTTTCTTCCTCCTCCGTGCCTTTGAAAGCAACGTTAGCATTTAATTTCTTTCTTTCTTTCTTTTCAAATTTAGACAGATTTAAGAGCCATCGGTAAGAAATTTCTCCCGAGTGACATCAACGGCGGAAAAGTAGAAAAGGTAAAAAAGATTCCCAGTGCTGTCTTTAGTGAGCTTGTGCAAAAAATTGAAAAGCTGCTTTGCTCAACCTGCCCTTTGGCAAGGTATCCCCATGTCGGTTTTTTTAAAAAGGTATTTGTTGTGTGTGTGTGTTTTATTTTTTATACAGGGTTACTGTTTTTCTCCGAAGAACAAAAGTTGTAAAAAAAAAAAAGGGGACTGTAAAAATATGATTCAGCCACCAGATGGCTGTATTTGATTAAACTTGAAGAAAAAAACATAACTGTAGACTTTTTTAGTGACAGTTTTTCTTTTTTATTGTAGAGTTAAAATAGTTCAGGCTGGTCAGTCGTGATCATTGGGCGTATAAAAGGAAGGATTTTATCATTGGGTGTGTAAAAGGATTTTCCAACTATGTCCTCGAATGGGTTGTACCAATTTAAAGCTAAAACAAGGAAAACTCTTCCCCCTCCCTTGATAAATATTGTTGGATTACTTTGGACACTTTAGATGAGGAAGTTGGATCTTTTCTGCGAATATCTTTTAACAATCTTAGTTACATGCTTAAACTGTATCTGGGTTTGTTGTTGGTGGGTATCTGGGTTTGTTGTTGGTGTTGTTGTTGTATCATATTGAAGGTAAGAGCTAAGGTTTTTTTTAGCTTTAAACATTAAGATGATTCTCCCTCCTGCCCCCAGGATATAGTATTCTAACATGAAAAAGTTTCTTTAAACATGTCTTAAAAAGTAGGTATTTGTACGGGTATACTGGTAGTCCTTGCCTTACAGCTACAATTGAGTAAAATGAGTTTTGACCCATTTGACGACTTTTCTTACCACAGTTGTGTGAATCACTGCAGTTGTTAAGTTAGTAACAACGGTTGTTTGATAAATCTGGCTCCCCCATTGACTTTGCTAGTTGGAAGGTCGCAAAAGGGGATCGCAAACAGACTCAGAACATTGCAACCCTCATAAATATGAGTCAGTTACCAAGCGTGTGAATTTTGATTACATGACTATGAGGATACTGCATTGGTTTACGGCAGCTGAGCATATTCTTCAGACTGCTATAAAAAGTCCCTTCATTTTCAAAGTCTGTTTGCTTGTATCGTACAGGGGGACACTGGCATTTGAAAACATAAACAAAAAAAACAACAACAACCTCCATGCACTCACCAATAATTGGACAATTTTTTTATCTCCCGCTTAAGAATCGAGAAACTCAGTAGCACTTTTTATCTTCCTTAGTGTATTAAAGTGACTAAACTAAAGCATAGAAAACTTCCCTGAAGTGATAACACAGTACACAATTGGGTAGTTGTTTCACAGGGATGTTTCTGTATCTCCTAGATCAGTGGTGGCGAACCTATGACACGGGTGCCAGAGGCGGCACTCAGAGCCCTCTCTGTGAGCATGCACGCCGTTGCCCCAGCCCCGCCACTCCCCGTGGCCCCCTCACCAGCAGCCCCCCCGGAGGAGAGTTGCCCTGGGTGCAGCCTATACAGAACAGCGCAGCCAAGGACATGGCAGCCGGGCAGCGGGGACAAGACTCCACCCTTGCCCCTCATCGCATACAGATGATGCTGTGGGGCGCAGACAGAGGGCGTGGCCGCCATGACGCTGCTGGGCCGCCTGGGCGATCTCCTGTGGTGGGCCGTGGAGGTGGTGGGTGGCCCTGTGGGCAGGAGACGCGGGGACGGGGCAGGGGCAAGGCGGTTTTGGGGCACTTGGTCTCTAAAATGTTCGCCATTACTATCCTAGATTATAATCCTTTCTTTGGGTTTTGGTGAACATAGAGGCGTAAAGCAGAAGCAGATAACTTCTGCTTAAAATGATCCACCAGTGCAAAAGTGTTCAAAATTCCAATTAGTAGACCAAGAATATCTGGGTACCATCTCACAATGCTCAATTAGAAATGGTGGGTTATTTTTTAGCTCTAAAGCTATAACGCTTGAGCTTTAAGATTAGGTAGGTGACCTTCCTCATAAAACAACTTAAATGCATTACTTGAAATAGTATTGTAGTAAGAACGCACACACACACACACCTCAGCCTCTCTGCCCCAGCCAGAAACTCGGCATGCCAGGTCTGTAGAAATGTAGATTTGATAATCCTTTCAGAAAAACTGGAGCCAGGAAGCTTGGAGCTGATGGGATTAGAAAGACAAAGATCCCTAGAACCAATAACCCCTCACCCATCCAACACAGGGCATAGCCATCAGCCCCAGCCCCAGGAAAGCAGGACATGACCTTTAGGACATAATAGGAGTAGCCCACCACCATCAGAATACAAAAAGGGCACACTCAGACTCAGGTCAAAGTACATGACACAGGAAATACAAAGCCTCAAACAGGAACAAATCCAAACACAAAAGCCCAAGAAGGTATAAAAACCCACCATTCCCAGCAACATGTGGTCAACTGCCCCAGAGCCACATGCTGTTGTGGTTCTGCTCTTCAATGAACTACAACCTTCTTTCTAAAGCAGTCTCCATTTTGTTTATTCCCAGCTTGGACTGGACCCTGATGAAGATTTTTCTTTCAACAGTATAAAAATCCTAACTTTGTAATTATAGTAGGCAAAATATTGTAGGAGATGCCCAGGTTGAGCCAGAGGGAGGGGTCAAGAGCGTTATCAGTCTGGAATCCCTTCGCACCCAGAAGAGATCTAAGTCCAGCCTATTGAGAATTCCGTTGCCTCTTACCTACCGCCTACTTGCTCTGACATTTAGTAGTTCAGATTCCTGTAGAGAGCATAAGCTTGCAATAAACTTTTATATTTCTTTTGAACTGCCTGGACTGCCTGATTTTTTTCACGCTTGACAATTGTGCCCTTATTAGCAGTGGCAGTGCCATTTCGGCAACGAAACAAAACAACACCAAAACTGGAGAATGGGTTAGACAAAAGCATTTTCGCCACGCTTATATTCGTGGGTCTCAGTCGAACAATTTTTATATGGTTATTTTTTCCCCATTGTCTTCACAGCTAGAAGGCCCCTGCGTTCTGCAGATTCAAAAAATCCGCAATATTGCCGCTCCGAAGGACAATGAGGAATCTTCGGTGGCCCCCAGAATGCTGCGCTTGCAGATGACCGATGGACACACCAGCTGCACGGCAATAGAATATACTTACATGTCAAAAATAAGGTGAACGGAGCTTATTTGTGCAATTCAATGGTGAAAAAAGTAAGGTTCTACATTTAGGCAAGAAAAACCAAATGTACAGGTATAGAATAGGGGGTACCTTGCTCAATAGTAGTGACTGTGAGAGGGATCTCAGAGTCCTTGTGGACAATCACTTAAATACGAGCCAGCAGTGTGCTACAGCTGCCAAAAAAGCCAACACAGTGCTGGGCTGCATTAACAGAGGGAAAGAATCAAGATCACGTGAAGTATTAATACCACTTTACAATGCTTTAGTAAGGCCACACTTGGAATACTGCATCCAGTTTTGGTCACCACGATGTAAAAAAGATGCTGAGACTCTAGAAAGAGGGCAGAGAAGAGCAACAAAGATGATCAGGGGACTGGAGGCTAAAACATATAAGGAAAGGCTGCAGGAATTGGGTATGTCTAGTTTAATGAAGAGAAGGACGAGGGGGGACATGATAGCAGTCTTCCAGTATCTCAGGGGCTGCCACAAAGAAGAGGGAGTCAAGCTATTTTCCAAGGCGCCTGAAGGCAGGACAAGAAGCAACGGGTGGAAACTGATCAAGGAGAGAAGCAACCTAGAACTAAGGAGAAACTTCCTGACAGTTAGAACAATTAACCAATGGAACAACCTGCCTCCAGAAGCGGTGAATGCTCCAACACTGGAAGTTTTTAAGAAGAGACTGGACAGCCATTTGTCCGAAATGGTGTAGGGTTTCCTGCCTGAGCAGGGGGTTGGACTCGATGACCTCCAAGGTCTCTTCCAACTTTAGTATTATTATTATTATCTGTAAGATCTTTGCAGTGCTGAAGAGTTATATCTACCAAACAATTATTAGTCAGTAGTTGTTTTTTTTTTTTTTTTAAAGGCGAAGAGCTGGGTCCCAAGTTAAGACAAAACATTTCTGTATGGAATATACTGCCAAGCCTGACTGCTTATGAAAGTTGAATTAGGGGCAACATTATCATAATTAAAGTTTCTCCTTCAGGTTTCTTGCATAGCTCCGTTGAGTGTTTATGGTGCAGGCTAGAATTTGGGCCACAGAGAGAAAACATTTACAGGTCAGATTTATTGAGCTGTTTGTTGGAATGTGCTGAAGTTCATTACTGATGTGCTATCAATTTTCACTAAAGCCTGCCAAAGGGAAGTAGCATTAATAATATTTAATTTGTCTCTTTTTGAACAAAAGAGTTTCCCTACCTTTATTCATAAGCTACTTTTAGGTAAAAGTGGCTGCCAGAGGCAAGTTGGCAGTTCCGTAGCTTTATTACCGATAAAATTACAGCTCATGTCTCAGTTTCCAGTTTCCAATTTAATTTTACCAATGCTATGAAAATACTATTAATATATTTACACCTATAGATGAAATAGTTGTTTAAAAAAATGGCTTGCAAGCTTTCAACTCTGTTGGGCTTAAAAGAAAACCCCAAAATATTCCTATTCATTTTACAAAAGAGCTCGGTGTATTCCCCCCCCCTCCGCCCCATTGTGGGCTACCTTGCATAATAATTTCAAGGACATGAATTGTCCCAGCATCACTAATAACTGCAGAAAAATAGCTCTGCCTACAAGGAATCGCTCTGACAAAATTATGTCTATAGAGGTCTGAGTGGTTTAAATTAGGTTTTGGGCAAGGGGAAAGGTCCAGGCTCTTACTTTTGAGATTAAGTGCGGTTTTAACCTTGTAGGAATTAAGAATTTTGGGCGTTTTTTTTTTTTAAGAAGTGATGCATTTTTACCTGGACAGCACCACTTTCAGACTACCTGCCCATCATCCCAACTTGGTCAATCAGAAGAGAAAGACGCTCGAATCCCTTGTTAGCAAAAAGTACACTTTACTAGACCTAAATGGTTGCAAAGCTAGATCTGAGATTTTTCACGCCCAAAGCATATGGTTCACTTTTCCCTTACTCCCATGGTTATCTCTTAAGTGTCCAATCGGATTGGGTGACAGTCCCGGTCTTTGTGGATTGGACAGTGCTGCATTCCATAGTATGACCTGGGAACCGCTGGGCTGGGGATGGTACGATGCTTAGTTTCAGTTCCTCTCCTACTACTCCCCCCCTCTCTTATCCCCCCCCACAATCTCCCCCCCCCCTGTGTACAGCAGACTGGCAGCAAGCAAAGCATGGCGTAGTGGGGGTGGCAGTCCTAACTCTACCTCCCCACCACACCTCCGAAGGCTTTTGTTTTTTCCCCCTACAACACACTGATCATTTACCCAGCTATGATCATATTCTGCAGTAAACAAATACGCTTCTGGACATTACTGTGTATTATGGGAAATGTGCTCCCTGGCCTTGTCTGGATACTCCTCAGAGTTAAGCCTGTCTATTACAGTTTGTAAGTTTGGGCTGTTTGTCAGAGAGTTTCAGCCTGAACATGATACTGTGATGCTTGGGAAGGAGGTGCTTGTGTATTTGATGAGCTCTACTTCCTTTCAACAACAACAACAACAAAAAACTACTACTACTACTACTACTACTATTATTATTATTATTATTATTATTATTATTATTATTTATTTATTTATTTATTTATTTATTTATTTATTTTGGGATTGCACAACTGGAGCACCACTTGAACACAACTGGAGCACCAATGGTGTTCAAGTGGTGCTCCAGTTGTGCAATCCCAAAACAACTGGAGCACCACTTGAGCACCATCGGCATTGACAAATTCGCCATTAGTCAATTGCAAAAGGCGGCCTTACTAGGAACTGCTTCCATCCTGCGACAATATCTGTAATACCATCAAACATCCACATCTGCCTATCCCAGGTCCTTGGTAAGGACTCGATAGGTAGGCAAAAATGCCAAATCCAGTCTGAACATCTGGTTGACTGTGCAATAATAATAATAATAATAATAATAATAATAATAATAATAATAATAATAATAATAATAATAATAATAATAATAATAATAATAGACGAGAAAGAACTGGAGAAGATAACAAAATACAAAGACCTACAAATAGAAATAGAAATAGACTGTGGCAAAGGCAAGCAAGGGCAGTACCAATAGTTAATAGGCACCTTGGGTGCAATCCCAAAACAACTGGAGCACCACTTGAACACCATTGGCATTGACAAATTTTCCATTAGTCAATTGCAAAAGGCGGCCTTACTAGGAACTGCTTCCATCCTGCGATGATATCTGTCATACCATCAAACATCCACATCTGCCTATCCCAGGTCCTTGGTAAGGACTCGACAGGTAGACAAAAATGCCAAATCCAGTCTGAACATCTGGCTGACAGTGCAATGATCCTCAATAATAATAATAATAAACTTGTTTTCTGTAGACTTGGCTTTATGGAGGGAGGGCCCATGCTGTAATTCTCAAGATCACACCAAAGTCACATTATCTAATATCTTATTGCAACTGTGCAAAGATAGCTGCCTCAGTTTAGGAGTTTGTAAGCCTCAGGAAAGCTCCTCTGGCTGACCTTCTCTGGCATGAGAATCTAAGTAGGGTCCAGCAGGATTAATATTTGGATGGGAGCCCCCCCCCCAAATACTTAAATTGTAAACTGAGCTAGAAAGACATCCTGGAAAAAGGCCGTTCCGAATCCATGCCTTCTAGTTGCCAAGAAAGTTCTTTAGAGTGTTGAACTTGAAGAGAAGGGAATTTTTATTTCTCTGAAAAAATTGGCTACCATCTTACACCTTTTGGATTGTGGCTACAGATGCTGTCCTTCTGTTTCCATAAATCGGTGTCAACTCTTGCCCAAGTTACCGTCACCTCAACTAGATCTTTAAAATTATCGAGAGCTGATTTTCCTCAATATTCTGTCCATTTGATGGATGTACTCGGCAGCCGAAAATGATAGATGTCGTTTTAGATCTTGTGGCTTGAAATTGTGTTTTCGGTTTCCCGGCTTTGACAATGAACAATGGATACACACACTCGATGGAAATTGTACAGCAAGCCATGCTTTCAAAGACAGCTGCCAGAAGAAGGACAGAGATGGATTCTGACACTTCCTGGATAAAGTGGTAGTGATGGCCCACATATTTTCCATGGCTCTCAGCTATCTCGTAAAATACAGACGAGTTATTTGCTTGCAAAGTGGGTGTTATTTTTTATCAAATCATTAAAACAATGCAGTGTGGTTTCACCGTGCTGTACACAGCCAGTGTTCGAACTAACGGAGAACGTGTACAAAACAATTCGGACTGTCGCACTTGAGTTGAATTAGAGCAACGTAACTTGAATAATGCCATCTCGTCCTAACACTTGTTGATGTTTTCTTTCTTTCTTTCTTTCTTTCTTTCTTTCTTTCTTTCTTTCTTTCTTTCTTTCTTTCTTTCTTTCTTTCTTTCTTTCTTCTTTCTTTCTTTCTTTCTTTCTTTCTTTCTTTCTTTCTTTCTTTTTCCCATGTAGTCTGAACACACCTCCTGGAACAAAAATTAAGCTGCTGGGAATCGTGGAAGTAAAAAATGGCTTTCTCCTTCTGGATGACAGCAACACGGTGGTTCTAGGAGGTGAAGTGGAGCATCTGATTGAAAAATGGGAGTTGCAAAGGGTGAGGTAACAGGAAGCATTTTCCTACCTTAAGCCCAAATGTTAAAAACTCCAGCTGACTTGTTGGACACATTTAAGGATGTTGTATATTTTTTTTTGCTTTCGTTTTTATGATAGCGACTTGTCATATTTTATCTCCCCCTGAAAAAACATCTCCATGGAAGGGGCAGTATTTAAATCTGGATAATTTAGAGTCAGGTCAATTTTATTGGCTTTCCGAAGCATCCGATAAAAACGCCGGGAGGAAATGGAGTAATGTTCATCTCATTCTTCTCTTTATAAACAACAGTTGCTTGTCTCCCCTGAATTATTTCTTGGACGTGCCTGATAGAGGCTTTGAAGTTAGATTCTTTATTTAAATCCTACCTCCTAAGGATTTTCCAAGTGGGAAAAAAAATATGCACATACGTTACCAGATGAACGCCAGCATCGTATTTTTGGTTATGAGGAATCAGAGCAGGAATAATGAACCTAGTTAACTAAATTCTTTGTAGAACATTGTTCTTATCCTCTTACCGTAGAGAGTGTAGAGCAGAATTTCTCAAATTTGGCAACTGTGGACTTCCACCCCCAGGATTCCCTAGCCAGTTCTGAAACTTGAAATCCATAGGTCTTAAAATGGCCAAGTTTCAGAAACACCGATCAGGAGAATAGCCTTCATGGACAGAGGGAAGCTCCATTATCAAGGCATGAAGCAAGACAATAGTGGCTTGCACTAGCAATAAGAAATAACCCTTCCCTCACCACCCAGCATAAGGGATAAAAGAGCAAGCACACTCATTGCAAGATTATGTTACTGTAGCTATTCTAATGAAAGTAGCTTTAGGTCTACACGGTGTTTGTTTTTTGGTCTGGTCTGTCTTATACATCTATCTTATACCACTTTACAATGCCTTGGTAAGGCCACACTTGGAATACTGCATCCAGTTTTGATCACCACGATGTAAAAAAAAAATGCTTTTAATGCTTTAAAGGACTTGAATGAATACACAAGGTGTTGAATCAATGAATGATAAAGGCAGAAATGCTATTGGTCTTGGGAAATGTGTTAAACAACATTTGTGCATTAGTCTTGCATTGTTATTTTTCTCCCTGAACTGTATACCTTTCTGGTCACAATAAGCCAGATGACATTCAGTTCTCCTTTATCCTTTATTTTCATTCCTCAGTGGAAGCCCTTGAGCAAATCAGCGGCAGACGTTGAGCGTTGCACAAAACTAGCCAGAGACCAGTGGCAAATCCTTGTTTGAGACCCTAGATTTACTAAGGAAGTAACGAAGTTCCTCCCCAAAGATATCCCTTTCCCTGCCTATTGTGGGTTGTTCCTGCTTGCAGGGGAAATCCAATGGTAATGCCATGTCAGAAACACATCCCACTCGTCAACAAAACATAAATTAAAAAAAAAGAGGGGAAGGAAGATTTATAGATACACAATGATCTCTGAAAGCCCCAGTCTCCCCTGCTAATTAGAGCAATATTGTGCAAAGTATGAAACAGATATTCAGCTTTTTGTAGCCTTTCCATAGCAAATCTTGATTATACCTTTGATTTTAGGGTAAAACTCTGTCTGTCTGACTGTCTACTTACCTACCTACCTATCATATCTATCATATCTACCTATCATCCATCCATCTATCTATCTGTCCGTCTGTCCGTCCGTCCGTCCATCCATCATCTGTCTGTCTGTCTGTCTGTCTGTCTATCTATCTATCATATCTATCTCATATCTACCTACCTACCTACCTATCATATCTATCATATCTATCATATCTACCTATCATCCGTCCGCCCACCCACCCACCCACTTACCCACTTACCCACCTACCTACCTACCCACCTACCTACCACCCACCCACCCACCCACCTATCATCTATCTATCTATCTATCTATCTATCTATCTATCTATCTATCTATCTATCTATCTATCTATCTATCTATCTATCTATCTATCTATCTATCTATCTATCTATCTATCTATCTATCTATCTATCTATCTATCTATCTATCTTACCTACCTATCTACCTAGCTATCTATCTAGCTAGCTATCTAGCTATCATATCTATTTACTGTATTTATCTACTATATCTATCTATATCTGTCTGTCTCTCTCTCTCTCCAGTATCTATCCATTCATCCTACTTATTTTCTTAGAGATAAGGGCAGTCAGCCATGCCATTAAACTCCATTATGGACTAAACAGCCATTTTGCTTTCTTAGGTGTGTGTGTGTGTGTTTGTGTGTGTGTGTCTGTGTGCGCACATGTGTGTTTTCAGTTATTTCAAGCCTCCGTTTTTAATGGCGATGTGGAAGAGAGATCAGATGTTCTTCAGAACATCCATAGCATTCAAGCAATGAGAAGCTTCCGGGGGACAGCATTAAATGATGTGTTGTCAGCAATGTACATGCTATATCTGTGTTTTCCTACCACTTTCCCCTCTTATCAGTTAATGAAAACTGCTTAATCTTTCAGAGTTTATCGAAACACAACAGAAGTAACATAGGAACGGAAGGAGGGCCTCCTCCCTTTCTCCCTTTTGGACAGGTATGACATGTTTTTCGGTCTTGCACATCTTCGTTGCCATCTTCAGACTGTGTAGAACAACAGAACAGAACAGAATAGAATTCAATTCTTTATTGACCGAGTGTGATAGGATACACAAGGGATTTGTCTCCGATGCATAAGCTCTCAGCGTACATACAAACAAGTGATAAATTATGATCATAAAATACAATCATCACAAGTCATAAGATACAAACTCGGTGATAGTCACAGGCTGCCAAATAAGCAAACAACATCAATCATAATAGGATACTAAATGAAGGCAATCAACATAAATCATGAGACACAAACAACCAAGTTACAGTCACAAGAAGCTGAGGAAACAGGTAATGGGAACGATGAAATGATGAGAAGGATAATAGGCACTCTTCATAACTGAAAGCTGTCGTCTTTTGTGAAAAATAACTCCTCTATATTGCGACAGTTTTTTTTCCTCCGGCAATATTAAATAATTTGAATATCTTTTTTGAAGCTCACACTTAAAAACATAGAACGTTTGCAAATTCTTTGCTGAATAAATACGTTTAAACCAGTACAAAGGAATATTTGTAGCTGAACTGTGGGGTCCTTGGTGCTCTCTAAACTTGGTAGTTTTCTTGCAGACGTTTCATTACCCAGCTAGATAATATCAGCAGTTAGCATCGATGATGTAACCTAGTTGGGCAATGAAACGTCTGCAAGGAAAAAAAAAAACGATCACCAAGGGTCCCTCAATACATTTAAGCATTTGCAGCAGCAGGGATGAAGTCAGAAGATGGAAGATTGGGGAGCTTTACTCACCCTAATGGAGCTTTGCTTCCTGCTTTACCTGCTCACTTGGGTAGTTAGGGTTGCTACTATCCAAAGTCCAGGATCATGTGTTTATCTGGCATTTTATCTCTCAGTCCCACCACCTGAGCAGCCTGCATGCCATACTGGAAAGTAAAACAAAAAGTGATTAGATAAGTTCTATTTTGTACCTCCTCCTGCTGGATTGGTGAGCCGTGTGGCTAGGGAAAAGAAGAAGGGAAAGGGAAAGAAGAAAGAAAGAGAAAGAAAAAAAGGAAGGAAGGAAAGCAGTAAGAAAGAAAGAAGAAAGAAAGAAAGAAAGAAAAAGAAAGAAAGAAAGAAAGAAAAAGTAAGGAAAGAAGGGAAGGGGAGAGGAAAGAAAAAGAAAAAGAAAAAAGATGAAGGAAGAAAGAAAGGAAAGAAGGGCAGGGAGGGAGGAAGGAAAGAAAGAAAAAGAAAAAAAAATATGAAGGGAGGAAAAAGGGAAGGAAAGGGGAGGGAGGAAAGGAAAGAAAGAAAAAGAAAGAAAGAAAGAAAGAGAAAGATGAAGGAAGAAAGGGAGGAAAGAAGGGAACGAAGGAGGGGGGAAGAAAAAAAGAAAGAAAAAGAAAGATAGATGAAGGAAGGAAAAAAGGAAGGAAAGAAGGGAAGGGGAGGAAAGAAAAAAAGAAAGAAAAGAAAGATGAAGGAAGAAAGAAAGAAGGAAGGAAAGAAGGGAAGGGATGGAGGAAGAAAAGAAGGAAAGAGAAAAAGAACGAGAGAAAGAAAAAAGAAAAAGAAATATGAAGGAAGGAAAAAAGGAAGGAAAGAAGGGGAGGGAGGAAAGGAAAGAAAGAAAGATGAAGGAAAAAAGGAAGGGAAGGAAGGAGTGGGGAAGAAAAAGAAAGAAAGAAAGAAAGATGAAGGAAGGAAGAAGGAAGGAAAGAAGAAAGGAAGAGAGGGAGGTACAATATTACAAAGAATAAAATAAAATCAGTCCATCCCAGTTTATTATTACTTGTTTCTCTCCATTTTCAATCATCTGAACTGCATTTTCCCCCAAAGAGGGAAGGGGGTGGTTTATGGGAAGCTCCTGGGCCTGCATGCTTGCTAGCCACACCCCTGTCAGGAAGTCGCATTTTGAGATAAAGGAAAGTGAAATTTCCTGCTTGGGATGTGGCTGCCAAGCTTCTGAACGCTGATCACAGCATCAGTGCCAATGCATGGAAATACTTAGAACAAACCTTACTTTTTGCCTGCTTTAAAGGGCTAGGTCAGTGGTGGCGAACCTATGGCAGGCGTGCCAGAGGGGGCACTCGGAGACCTCTCTGTGGGCACACACGCCTGGCTCTTTGGCTAAGTTTTCGTAGGAAAAAGCCATTTCTCAAGCCCCTTCCTAGCCAAAACAAGCCTCCGGAGCGAGCGCGCTGTTTTCAGCTTTGAATTATATCAAATCTGACACCAGAAAGAGACTTAACAGATGACCTGAGTGCTGCATGCAGTGTTGCTCTCAAACTTACAAAGTATAAGCCAAGGTTAGACAAATTATCAGCATGCATACAACAGCAAAAATCACACTAATTGTTCAAAAGCATGCCAAATGCCTTTCAGTAAAAAGTTGTTTGCCTCATTGAAAGCTTTGTTATTGTGTTTTTCTTTTAAGACAAAAGATGTTAATGTATGAGGTGTTTTTCTAAACTAAAACCTCAGTATTCAGATTAAATTGCCGTGTTAGCATTTTGCGATAAATAAGTGGGTTTTGGGTTGCAGTTTGGGCACTCGGTCTCTAAAAAGTTCGCCATCACTGGGCTAAGTGAATTCTTCCACCTGCTGGAATCTTGTAACCACACTGAGATTTTTCCTTCCTTCCTTCTCAGCCCCTCAAGATTTTTTTCTTTTTGGTCTATTGGTTATTATTTCAGCTCGCTATTTCTAAGCCAATCCCTCTGGCGATAAAACTGATATTCTGCCTTTCCTGCAGGGGCAATATGACCTCAGTGCTAACCCTTTTTGTTACGCCACACGATTCTTTCTTATCACCAGTAGTAGTTCTCATCATGAACAGGACCCTGTCCTCCATTCCTTCTCTGATTGCTAAAAATCTGCTTTGGCAGATGCCAAGGACAGGTCCTGGCTTAGATTCAACTCCCAAGTAAATGATGGTTTGTTTGGTTTGTTTTTTAATGCACGAACAATTGAACATGTTGTTGGTTTATCTCTTGCTTAAATATGCTTTTGCGTCACCAGAGATGCGTATCTCAGCTTCAAGTGGACAGCAAGGAGTTGGACCGCCGAAAAACCCTGCAAGTCACCAACGTGGTGAAACCGATGGGCGACAACGACGAATTTGAAAAACAGCGGACCGCTGCTATTGCCGAAGTGGCCAAAAGCAAGGAGGTTAGAACGAACGCCTCTTGTCTTTTTGTTTTGAAACAATACACGAATGATCTCGGGACAGATCTTTACCAGATATGGAAAAGCTATTTGCTGTGATCCATCAAGAGCAGGCCGTTTCTAAAGTACTGGACTTAGGATGTTAAGTGTGAATTACTGAAGGAAAAAAAAATACCTTGGAATATACAGACTTTTATTCTGTGTATATCTAAGAAACATCGGGTTTAAAAGGGGACATGTTCCCTTAAAAAAATCTGTATTCCAGTTTTGTCTTTGGAAGGGAAAAACCCAAAGAGAAGGTATTCCGAGAATGTGCGCTTAAGGCTAATAACACCACCATTAGTGAAGCATTTTGCATTTGATAATGGGCACAGCGGGACGCATCCCATGTCATAAATTGCTCTGCTGAAAAATTACATGGCATTTCCGTGTACGTCTCAAACTTTCCTTCATATCCTATAAGTCTTACAAATCTTCCCTGGTACCTGAATAGCATTAATACATTTGTCACTCTTGAGTATTTGATTTGACCACGGTGACTTGTCTTTAGTAGACGGCAGTATTTGAATGGAAGCTTCTTGATTTGTGTGAGTGGCAACATTTTGCTAGATTCTGTAGGCTAGTTCAGGGGTCCCCCCAACCCCCAGTCTGTGGACCAGTACCGGGCCGCAGTATGCCAGCAACTGGGCTGCACAAACAAGCAAAGCCCCATCCATGAGATACAGGCAGCACACAAAACCACACACCCTCCGGTCCGCGGAAAAACCTCTCTGCGGAACTGGTCCCTGGTGCCCCAAAGGTTGGGGACCTCTGGGCTAGTTCTATACCAGCTGCCCAAATCAGATCCTGTTGGTCCTGTTCCCCACCCAAAATGTTACACATTGAGATACAGGTAGTCCTTGATTTAAAAACATTCATTTAGTGACCGTTCCAAGTTACAATGGCACTGAGAACAGCGATTTAAGGCCGTTTTCAGACTTAATGACCGTTGCAGCATCCCCATGGGTCACGTGATCAAAATTCAGATGCTCGGCCGTCGGCGTGTGTCTTTGTTCTGGGATCATGTGATTCCCTTTTACGACCTTTTGACAAAGTCAGGGGAGGAGCCAGATTCCCTTAACAACCGTTGTTAAATGCCGTGATTGGCTTAACCGCCATGGCAAGAAAAGTCGTAAAACGGACCAGAACTGCCTTAACACTCACTGTCTCACCTAGCAATGGGAATTTTGGGCTTCATTGTGGCCGTAAGCCGAGGAACGCGTTGTTGTGATTCCTCGCCAGCCAGTGGATCCAGCAGCTGAGTCTGAGGAATCAGAGGAGGAGGAAAGGCCTGGAGTGACATCAGAGTCAGAGGAAGGCTCCGAGGAGCTCCAAGACTTATAGTCGGACGAGGAGCCTGGCCCCTCTACTCGCCCTCAGGCTGAGACACAGCTGTGCTGGGATGCTGAGTTGGACAGTGATGAAGAACAGCTGGGACAAATCCTGGATGCATGAATGCGCAGGCAAGAGAAGCGAGTAGGACAGAGGAATGCAATGGGGCGGCTCCAAAGGCAAAGGAGAAGGCATTAGGAAGCCACGCCTTGGCTGCATAATAAAAGGGAAGGGGTGGGAGGTGCTGGTTACTCAAGGCAGCCATTCGTGTTGAGGATTGAGTTTCTGTGGACTGTGTTTGTTTGCCTTGGACATTGACTCGGGTCTGTGAGAATAAAAGGGGTTGGTTTTTTTCTTGCGGTTCCTGCCTGTTTCTTGGAAGAAGGGTTTCTCCTTGTGAGCATAACAAGGACTCACGCAGGTTGGGACAGAACACGCGTGTGCTCGGCTTGTACATCTCAGTCGCTTTAGAAATACATGGCAGTGGCGTTACTAAAACGTGGTTCTCTTCTCTAAAGATCAAGACTTTTGGCGGCGGCGGTAGTAACACCAGAAGCAACCTCAGTTTGAATGCTGGAGGGAATCGAAGCAGAGACGTATTCCAGAAGGAGAAAACGAAGCCTGAAGGAAAAAATGAAGGTGTCTATCGTGAATTGGTAAGATACACATCGCCCCCCCCCCAAAAAAAAAAGAATATCGTCTCCACATCGTAGGAAACGGTCATGGTGTTCAATCAGTTATGACTGATTGCAGAGAAGAGCAACAAAGATGATTAGGGAACTGGAGGCTAAAACGTGAAGAACTGTTGCAGGATTTGGGTATGGCTAGTTTAATGGAAAGAAGGACTAGGGTTGACAGCCTTACAATGTCTCAGGGGTTGCCACAAAGAAGTGGGGGGGGGGTTTCAACCTATTCTCCAAAGCACCTGAAGGCAGGACAAGAAGCAACAGATGGAAACTAACCAAAGAGAGAAGCAACCTAGAACTAAGGAGAAATTTCCTGACAGTTAGAACAATTAATCAGTGGACTGACTTTTCTTCAGAAGTTGTGGGTGCTCCAACACTGGAAGTTTTTAAAAAGAGACTGGACAGCCACTTGTCTGAAATGGTATAGGGTTTCTTGCTTGAGCCAGGGGGTTGGCCTAGAAGACCTCCAAGATCTCTTCCAACTCTGTTATTTTGTTTTATGTAATCATTAATTCAACATCTGATGCTTCCTGCACCTGCCAGAAATACAAAGAGGATAGGGTAGGGTAGGGTAGAGTAGAGTAGAGTAGAATTAGAGTAGAATAGAATAGAATAGAAGTATAGAGTAGAATAGAATTAGAGTAGAGTAGAGTAGAGAATAGAATAGAATAGAATAGAATAGAATAGAATAGAATAGAGTTGGAAGGGACCTTAGAGGTCTTCTAGTCCAACCCCCTGCTCAGGCAGGAAACCCTATACCAATTCAGACAAATGGTTGTCCAATCTCTTCTTAAAAACTTCCAGTGTTGGAGCACTCACAACTTCCGGAGGCAGGCATAAGTTGACTTACATTCAAGAAATTACTAGCTATCTCACGTACCGACCTACATTTCATCGACTGAGATGTTTTAGTTTTATTGATCAAATGAACTAAAAAAGCACACATTTCTTAATGTGCCTTCACACGGACATTTAAAAACAAAACAAGGTCCTGACATCTTGTGGACTTCTGATATTTTAAGAATTTAGGGGCTTTAGCTAAAAAAGTTCATTGGCTGGAAAAGGAAAGGTGGGATTGCCTTGTTTCCTTACGCAGGGAAGGCAGAGTCACGCCGTTATTTTGAACTCTTTCTCTTACACTTTTTGGCTCCAGCATCTATTCCAGAGAAGGGAATTAGTCACTTGACCTAAAACTGACCACAGGAGAAGACATAAATGGGGTTTGGGGTTTAAGCCGGGTGATAAAGTTCTACCAAAAAAACACAGCAGAGACTTTTATAAAAAAAAACCCAACCAAATGGATACTATGCAGGAAAAAAAAATCCAAAACAATCACACTGAAGAACAGTTCAATTTTTTAAAAAAAATCTTTATTTGTATTTTAAAACTAAGAATTCCGTTTGGTTTCTTCTCAGAATTGACTTTTTGCTCTTTTCTCTTGTAGGTTGATGAAAAGGCTCTCAAACACATAACAGAAATGGGCTTTAGCAAAGAAGCTGCACGACAGGCACTTATGGACAATAGCAACAACCTTGAAGCTTCATTAAATTTCCTCCTCAACAGCAATAAACAAGCGACCACTCAAGGGCCGCCCCCTAGAGGTATAATTTCATTCATCTATCACACAGGAAAGGATTTCTGTAGGATCACATTTTTGGGGAGTACAGATTTATTTACTTGCAGGTAGTCCTCGACTTACTACAGTTAGTTTAGTGACTGAAGTCATGGTTCCGACAGATGAAACTCTTCAAAGAACTTCGAGGCATTGTTTACCTTAAAAGAATCTTTATTGGAGTAGCATAGCATCGGCACTAACATAGTCGAAGCCAAAATCTGAATTCCCCTCCCCTGAACACATAGTATCTAGCGCAAATCCACCCTCTAATTAACAGTCATAAATCACATTCTCCAATTAATTTGAAACGCAGGCCTTCCCTCCAGTTCTCCAACCCGCCATTTCTTATCATCTATTTCAAAAAAAACTTGACTGTCATACTACTGCAATATTGTTATGTCTAACTAACTCTCATACACATTCATTCTCCTCCCCCACCCCCAGTATCATTTAATTCTAACTCTAAGAGTAAAACATAAGAAGAAAAATGGCTGCATCTCCATATGTTGTCAAAGAAAGAACATCCGATGTTAGCAGCGTTGACAACAACGGCAATGAAAAAAAAGTGACTTATGACTATTTTTCACCCTTACGACTGTTGCGTTCTTCCCACGGTCATGTGATCAAAATTCAAAGGCTTGGAAACTGGCATGTACTTATGCCAGTTGCAGTCTCCCGGGGTCACGCAATCCCCTTTTGCGATCTTCCGGCAAGCAAAGTCAATGGGGGAACCAGATTGACTTAACAGCCATATGCAGGGATTCACTTAAGGTCGTAAAATGGGGCAAAGCTCACTTAACAAATGTTTCACTTAACGACGGAAAATTTGGGCTCAGTTGCGGTTGTAAGCCGAGGACTTACCTGTACTTATTTATTTATTTATGAAATTTATATGCCACCCAAATTGCCCAGAGGCGACTCTAGATAGCTAACAATCAATGAAAACCAAGTAAAACATTAAAAAGAATTAATATTAACATTAAAATCGATGTAAAATTGACTGAGGTGGGAAGGAGGGGAGCAAAATTTACACACCCTTTAAAGCTCTTCTAGGCAACATTTTCATTAACTGTTTTGCAAATTAGCCTTGGTGGTAGGTTCACGTCCTGGCTAAATTTCATATGGGAAGAAAATACTTCAAAATAAAATAAAATAAGGAAAAGAGATGAGACTTGGAAAGAGGAACTATATTAGACACGGGGGAAAGATAGGAAATACGAAAGGAGTAGGAATAGACTGGTCTGCCGATTGAAAAATTTGGAAGAGATTGCGAGAGCAGAGGTGCATGTAATGAAAGAGCTTAAATCCAATTTGAAATTTCGATACTTGAAACGGTCGGCTCCAAAGCTTTTGCTCTTTTAAATAAATCTTTTGCATACAACGTTATCACGAACAAGTTTGCATTAGATGTTACAGAGTTAGGGCCATGTATAGGTAGCTGTTCTTCTAATAAATAACACTTAGACTTATATACCGCTCCGTAGTGCTTCACAGCACTCTCTGAGCAGTTTACAAATGTTTACAAATTTATTGCCCCCAAAAATCTGGCTTCTTATTTTACTGACTTTGGAAAGATGGAAGGCTGAGTCAACTTTGATTGCGTATCCAAGCATCTGGCTTGACAGTTGGAGTGTTCCCTATTAACCGGTTGGAGAGAATGCTGAAGAATATCATTGATATGTCAAAACCAGTAAAGATAAATATTAGGAAAGAGGAACTCTTTCATTATTATTATTAACTAGAAGTCAAGTAGTCAACTAGAAGTCATTATTAACTAGAAGGGCAAAATGACCTTTAATAATAATAATAATAATAAAGTTGGAAGGGACCTTGGAGGTCATCTAGTCCAACCCCTTGCTCAGGCAGAAAACCCTATACCATTAACAGAAGGATAGAATCAAGATCACGTGAAGTGTTAATACCACTTTAAAATGCCTTGGTAAGGCCACACTTGGAATACTGCATCCAGTTTTGGTCACCACGATGTAAAAAAGATGCTGAGACTCTAGAAAGAGTACAGAGAAGAGCAACAAAGATGATTAGGGGACTGGAGGCTAAAACATATAAGGAACGGTTGCTGGAATTGGGTATGTCTAGTTTAACGAAGAGAAGGACGAGGGGGGACATGA